ATGTCCGCCTCCTCCATTCTCCCCTCGGGATCTTGGGCACGCACGCACACGCACCCGGCGTGAGTTTCAAGCCACCGGGTCCAGGACACGAACCGCGGTCGACTACGTGGGAGTCCAGCGACATAGCCATTATGCTAACTGCTGGTTCCCTATTTAAAAAGATTTTTAAAAAGAATTATTTTATTTAACTTTATTTATCTACTTATTTTAATTTGACCAGAGAGGGACAGAGCAAGAGAGAGTGAGCGAGAGAGAAAGAGAAAAAGAGAGAGAAAGCAACCTGTCAGTTCTGGGACTCAAGTTGTGGTTGGCCATGTGGGAGTCCAGCACCTTAACCACCACGTTACCCGCTGGCCCCCTCATAATCTTTTTTTTTAAGATTAATTATAGGGGCCGGCAAGTGGCATGGTGGTAAAAGGCACTGGACTCCCACATGGCTCACCGTGGTTCAAGTCTCGGACCTGGTGGCTTGCTTTCTCACTTCCTCTCTCTCTCTCTGTCTCTCTGATCAAACTGAAAAATAATAATGATAATAATAATAAATAAAGTTAAATAAAATAATTCCTTAAAAAAGATTAATTATAAAGATCTTCTAAAACTTGATGAGAACAATAACAACAACCAAAACAACAACTCAATTTATCAATGGGCAGAGAATTGGGAAAGACATTTCTCCAAAGAAGAAAACGGTCAGTAAGCATGTGAAGAGAGGCTCGGTATTGTTCATCATTAGGAAAATGCAGGTCAAAACACAAGGAGGTGCCCCCGTACCTGTTAGGATGACTCTTATCCACAGACAGAAAATTGCAAATGCTGGCAGAGGTCTGGTGAAATGGGGACCCTGTGCATTGCCGGTGGGGATGCCGACGCTCTACTTCCGTGGAACTAGTATGACGGCTCCTTAAACTACAATGACCCTCTGATCTGTGATAGCAACAGATCGAAAGCAGCCCGCAAACAGATGTTTGTGCACCCATCGAGGTACGGCATTGCTCACAACAGGAGAAAGGAGGAAGCAAGCCGAGTGTCCACAGGAGGAGAGTGGAAAGAGATGTGGTATGTACATACAATGGAGCACTCTTCAGCTTGCAAAGAGGAGAAAATTCGGACCCGTGTTGCAACGCGGATAAACCTCGAGGACATCATGCTGAGTCAAGTAGACCAGGCGTAAAGGACAAACGCCGTGTGGTCCCACTTACATGGAGTAGTCAGCTTCACGGAGGCAGGAAGGAGGATGCTGGGTGCCAGGGCTGGGGTAGGGAGGGCTGAGGGCTGAGGGTTTATAGGCGCAGAGTCAGTTTTGCAAGCTGAAGAGTTCTGGAGCTGGATGGTGGTGAGGGTTGCACAACAACGTGACTGTACTGAGTACCACGGAATCGTACCCTTAAAAATGATTAAAAATAGTACATTGTATGTCATGTGTATTTTGCCACAGCATAAAGAAAATCACGCTGAATCTTTGCCCCGTGGGAGGACTGCAGCGCTGAAAGGGATCTCGCCGGTCGTGTACGGCAAGCCCCTGCATTACAGCTGAAGAGACTGAAGCGGGTCCTAAGGAATGGCATGACTTGATGGAGGCCGTGTACTATTAGCGGCTGAGCTGTCGGGATGGTTTCCTGTTGCACTGCAGGGACTCCAACACGTTTCTCTAACTAATCTTACATTTGTCTTCCCCGCCCCCCGCAATACCCTATCTACATGTCACACTTTTTTTTTAAAGTTTTGTTATGGGGTGCATGTGTTCACTGGAGAGAGACAGAGAGGGGGGAAAGGGAGCAATCACCCCTCAAGTGCTAGCTATGCCGCAATCCCTTCTCCATTCTCTTTTTTTGGGATTTTAGGCATGCATGCACATGTATCTGGCATGTTTTTCAAGGCACTAGGTTTGGGACTTGAACCCCACATCGGCCATGTGGGATCCGGCCACCTTAACCTCCACACCACCTGCTGGCCACATGTCACACATTTCAGAAAACTCCAGACTGCTCCTGTGGGAATCGGAGATCAGATCTGTATTCCTTTGATTAAAATGTTCCCTGCTGCCTCGCTCTGCCTCATTCTGTCATTAAAGGTAGAATTCCTTAGTGGGGTCTAGTGACCTTCTGAGACCTGGCCCTCTGCTGTGTCACCCTGTGACACCCTGTCCTCCTGCTGCTGTCCCACAAGAGCCACCTTTGCCAGAAGCCCAGCCCTACAAGTCTCTGTGTGAGCAGGACATTCTCGGTGGTGCCTGTCTTCCCCTCGTCCACCTGCAATGCACCGTTTCAGCGTCCTCTCCTGCAGTCTCAGAGGTGTCCCATCTAGTCCGGCCCTGCCCACACTGAGCCACACTGAGAGCCTCACCTCCGCCTCGCATCGCCATTGCCTGTGCACCCTGTGTGCTGGGCAGTGCAGAGGACAAGGGCGACACCTCTGATCTCCATTACCAATACAATAGCACTTAGTCATGGCTGTGTGTCAGCCCCAGGCAAGACGTCTGACAAAGATATAGCTGCTCAGGCCGCTCCCTGGACCCACGGAGTCAGATTTCAGCAGGGAAGTGCCGGGCACATTTGGGGACAATACACGACTAACTTTAGGGGCTGGCAGATGAACACAGGAAAAGGCTGGGAGACAAGGCCAGAAAAGAAAGAAGGCTGGCTGTGTGGGGGTGTCTGGCGCAGAGGAGCAGCAGTGAAATATGCATTTCACGAATTGAGTCTGGCAGAAACAGGCAGTGCGAAGGGGGTCGTGAGAGGCTGCAGCAGAGGGAAGAGTGAGGATCTGAAGTGTTATGTATTGTCTTTCGGTGCCCGCCACGAAACAGGTGCTCAGGCAGGGAAGAAGCCAAAGACTGCCCTGGGCTTGATCCCAGCTGTGGACAGCAAGCTCAAGGGGCAGGACAAATTGTTTTCAGCTTGTTTTTAGAACTTGGATTTTCTTGAACCTCTAAGACTGCTCATTGCACTCTGGCTCAATGGTGCTCGGATACGAATAGAACACATACACACCCGTACACACACACTTGAGTGTACACAGTGGTTGTGGCTGAGCTCAGCAGATTCCAGAGCTCGACTTCCCCTGCTTCTCTGAGTCAACTGCTGCACGAGAGGACTCGTGTTTTCCCGGACACACGTCGATGTGTGTAGTTCAGACAGGCGCTGCAGTCCCGAGGTCAGTGTTATTGAAACGAGAACGTCTACCTCTTCAACATGCACAGGAATCTCCTGAACTTCTTGGTGGGAAGCTGCATCTGCTGAGTGGGTCTGGGGAGGGGTCTGAGATTTGTATTTTAAACAAGCTCTTGGTTGCTGAAGCTGCTGGTCCAGGAAACAGTATAGGTTAAGCATCCCTAATCTGAAAATCCAAAATGCTCCAAAATCTGCATCTTTTTGAGCACAGACATGATGCTACAAATAGAAAATCACACAGCTGACCTCGTGTGGCAGATTGCAGCCAAATCACTGCAAAGCAAAGATCCCGTATGCAATGATCTTCAGGCTGTGTATGAGATGGGTGAGAAACATAAATGAAGTTTGTGTTTAGACTTGGGTTTCGTACTCAGAACATTTCATGAAGTACATTTGAATATTAAAAATCTGAAAAATAAATCCTGGATCTGAAACACTCCCAGCCCCAAGCATTTCAGGTAAGTGATACTTAACCTGTATCAAATGTTTGCAGAGCTTCACAACTGGACTTGAGCATCGGCTTTGCACAGAGGTTCATAACTGGTATTCCCATGTCTTAGGTGATCTAGAGATTAAGTCCCCTGAAAGTAGCTTCGCTTTCCCCCAATAAGCTGAGTAGGATTCCTTCTCTACAGGAGCGTGGCATGGAAAAGGTGGAGAGCACTTCACTAGAGCACCGGTTCTTCAGTTTCGGAGGAAATCTGAACACGTGGGAGACCAGGTGAGAGTAGGGGCCCAGGGCCCTCCTATTTCAAAGAGCTGATGCTGATTCTCCCAGGGTTGGGGGCTGTTTCGGATGCCTCAGGGAATGAGCTGTAGGATGCAGGAACATAGCAAAGTAATGTATCCACTGGTCAGAAACGGGGGAGGCTCAATTTGTTCATTCATTCGGTCACTCCACACACCTGGATTGAGAACTTGGTGTGTATTGAGGGCTATTTGATCAAAAGGAAATTGGAAAAGGTTACCATATCAGGGTTCCTAGGAGCCCTAGATGATAACTCGGAAAAGACAAGGGCTTTTCTGACTCATGGAGTCTTGGGATTGATGCCAGGTGACTCACCGTGGACATAGGATGGATTCTCATGCAAAGAAACTGGTTTCACAATGATTTTATTATTTTAGAGAGATTTTTGCTAGAGGGGGTGTGTGCTTGCTGGAGATGCAGAAATGACAGAGAGAGAGAGAGAGAGAGAAAATGAGAAACTACCTCCTAGGGGAATGGCCATGCTACAATCCCTTCTCCTTCATTCTCCTCTTGGGGTTTTGGGCATGCATGGACAGGTACCCAGCATGGGTTTTAAGCCACTGGGTCTGGGATTCGAACCATAGTTGGCCGTGTGGAAGTCCAGGGCCTAACCCACTATGTCACCTGCTGGCCCCATCTCACCTATTTTTAAAGTTTAATTATTTATCTATTGTAAGAGAAAGAGAGAGAGAGAGAGAGAGAGAGAGAGAGAGAGAGAGAGAGACAGCACCTCCAACGGGAATTTGAAACCATGATCCACCTCCAGCTTTAGCCAGCCTGGATTATGGGCATACATGTGCATGGTATTCTCAGGGAGGTCTCTGGATGTGAACTGGCAACCACCCCATGTGGGTCTGCCTCACAGAGCATCACATTAAACCACTGCACCACCTTCTGTCCCCATGGTTTTCACAAATAGCATTTGTAGCATTTTCTCCAGCTCTATCCCAGATGTGCCCTATCCATGATCATAGTCCACTCATAGTCCACAGCCCACAGAAACAGAGGAGGGGAAGGTTCTACTGTTTCATCTTAATAGGGTTTCCTCTTCCTTTGACATTCCAACCACCAGTGTTGTCCCCGGCACCAGCTCCAACGCCACAGTATTCCAAATCCATGATCATCTTAAATTCTAAATTACGTAGACTGGATACCAGAGAAGGGAGGAGTGCGTTCTGCCTTTCCTCATGAGAAGCCTGCAACTCACTCCAAGTGGAAATGAGTGTTATCCTCTGACAGCCTCTGCTGATGTTAAGACCCAGAGTTATGTGGCCCAAATCAGGGATATGAGAAAAGTCTTGCTGGTAGGACTCCAGTGTCCTCAGCGGTATCCACTCTTGTGAAGAGCTTAATAATAATATCCACCTGAAATGGAATGTGTTTCAATCTCAGCCTTTGATTTGTTTCGCCAAACATAATCAAATGTAAAGAGGAAGTTATTATCTTTAACCTCAGGAATGAGGAACCAACGCATTCTACACAGTCAATGAAACATTACCACCAAACATTGGAAATTGATGATTTTTATTTTTAAAAAATCATTGTTTGTGAGCACCAAGGATATGGATTCACATAAACTTTCTTTTCTTATCTGTGATTTCCCCCCAGCTCTATCTTATACAACACTCACAAGAATTTCTTCCATCTTCTCTCACACAAAAATCCATTTCTCCTTTTGCTTTTGCTGTAAAATAATTCATGAAATTCCTCAATGTTGTATTTGTAATCATGCTGGGTCAGCAAGTGCCAAGGCTGATGGAAATGCTATGCAGGGAGGAATATTAAAGCTCCTTGTCCTTAAGAAAGAAGCTATCTGGGACCAGCAGTTGGCGTAATGGCTATGTCGCTGGACTCCCACGTGGTTGACCATGGTTTGAGTCCCGGACCCAGTGACTTGGACTCATGCCAGGTGTGTGCGAGCGTGCCCAAGATCCTGAGAGGAGAGGGGAGGAGGGGGGATTGCGGTGTGACTATCCCCCCGGGGGGTGATTTCTCGCTTTCTGTCTCTCTGTCTCTCTCTGTTTGTCTGGTGAGTGCACGCGCCCTATAGCAAAAACTTCTCCAGAAAAAAAAGAAAGAAAGAAAGAAAGAAGCTATCTGAGGATCAGCAGATGGCATGATGGTTATGTTGCTGGACTCCCACGTAGTTGACTGTGGTTTGAGTCCCAGACCTGGCGGCTTAAAATTCATGCTGGGCACACATGCGTGCATGCCCAAAATCCCAAGAGGAGCATGGAGGAGAAGGGGTTGTGGCATGGCCATCCCCCCGGGGAATGATTTCTCACTTCTGTCTTTCTGTCTCTCTGGCAATCACACGCACCCTATAGCAAACATCTCTCTCTCTAAAAAAGAAAGAGGTTGGCTTATAGGGGTGGGCTTAATAGACTGGAGGGGCAGCCAG